CGTTATTTCAAAAGCCATTACATATTTCAAAAATCTCTCTCTCATTTCATATTCCAAAGATGTATATGTTTATCCTCTCTCTCATAGGTATTTACTTATCTCTCTTAACACTTTTTTTATTTTTTTATTTTTTTTTTCCCGATATCCCCTATTCTCAGTCTCTAATCTCCTTCCATCACTCTTGCCTCTCTACTCTAAATTCCGAAACATAACCACCTCCTCTCCCCTCCCACTTCGAATATTTTGATTTTCGAAACCCATCATCTAATTTGATGACGAAGGGCCAAACCCTAAGTTGCGTTATTCTAGTGAGTTGATTATGAACAACTTCCAATCCACTTGCAAAATGGATGAAGGCTTTGATTTCTTGTGAGTTCATTCATTTTTGTTTCCCTTTATTGTTATTGTGTTCTTTGACTTCTTCCTCCTTCACAAATCATTCCTGGATCTTTCTTTCTTTTATGTTTTCGTTTTTTGTTTGTGATTTTCTATAACTCAAGCAACTCGACCGAAACCAACCTCAAAACCGTATCTCACGACTAGTCTATTTCGAACATTGTAGCGGTTGGAATCAAAAACCAACCCGAACCGACCCGTGTCCAGCCCTCCTAAGAACATACTTGATGAATTCAACTTCCTTTCGTCACTTCTTTCAGGACCGGTGAGTCTTCTAGTAAGCACAACAACTTCCTGTACTTCTCTTCCCAAGAGAAAAAAAAATGCCTTCTAATTTCTAAAGCTTAAATTCCATTGAACTCTTCCCTCATTTATGTCAACACCAACAGAAAAAAGACCCTCCCTATTGACAGCAAGCTTGGACAGCCGTGGGAATACTTGCTCCAACTGCTGGTTCCCTAAGCAAGCATCTTTTCAAAACAAAATCTACTATCCACCTATCCGTCCACATCATCTGTCCATGTGTAATCCCCTATTTATCTGTGTATCACCCATCTATTCACCTATCTTTCTGTACCTTTAATTTCATATTTTTTAATGAAATTTTTCTTTGCTGATCAAAAAAAAATACATATATATATATATATATATATATATCTATTTGTCTATATTACCTCCACCACCACCACCACCACCAGTTGCCTATGTTATATGGAATAGGGTACAAGTGACGGGTATGGATATGTATTTAGCTTTCAAACTCATCAAATCATAAATTTAAGATTACATGGACTCGGTAAAAAAAAAATGTCATATTTTATATTTTTAATCAAGTATGTGATATAAAATGATGTTATATGTAACTTATAATATCAAAAAGACATTTACAGCAATTATACAACAATACGAATATATAATAATAGTGTTATATACTAAGAAGTACGGACAAGACATGAATACGATACGAACACGCAGACATATCAATTTTCAAAAAATACAAGACATGACACGTGAGGAACACGTATGAAATATATAATTTTATATATTTATTATATGTTATATATATATACGAATATATCATTCAAAAATAATAAAAAAAAAACAATATGATGCTAATTCTTATAAATTAGATGATTTTTGTTTTATTATTGTATCTTAAATTGTTTTGTTCAAAGTTATAATTAGTTTCACTTGTATTTAATCGATAGACACGTGTGTCCTCTAAGTGTTCAAAAAGTGTCCGGGTCTTTAAAAATAAGACACATTTTGAAGAATGTCGGACACGTGTTGGCTAAGTATCGAAAAAGTGCTGGTGTCCGACAAGGACACAATACAGATACATCACCTTGTTAGAAGTGTCCGTACTTCTTAGATTATATACAATCATATAAGAAGTGTCCATTGAAAAGTAGCCGACACATATCCTATACCCGTGTTCGAGTATCGAGTGTAACACGGATATTTAATTTATTTTGAAAAGTCCATATAACATAGTTAGTGATTGTCATTGCAAACTTTCCAACCACTTTTCTAGCAGCGGCCGACAGTGATATAGTGGCAGTGGGGTAAAAATGAAAAAAAAAAATCCTTCAAAATAATAATTTGCTCTTATCACCAAACAATTTTATATATCATGCCCTTATCTCCATAAAAGATCAATCTTTAAACCTAATGCCATATGCCTATAGAAATAGGCTTATCACCAATAAACTTTTTGTTATTTTTGTAAAGTGATTGACAAATAAAATTTTCACAATCAATCCTAAGGGATGTAAATGACAAATTTAACTCCTCCTATGAATGCTAATTCCACCACATGGGATTTATAATCCCATGGGTCTCTTACTTATAATTTATGTAGGTCTCATTGGATTGGTAACATAAATCCCATGGGTCTCTTATAATTTATGTGGGTCTCATTGGATTGCTAATCTAATCCTAAATGTGGCCTTTGTCTTGGATAATTATTTAGTATTCCTTAAACTTCATGTGGTATTGCTTACTTAGTATTTCTGTTGGCACCAAATTCAAAATCACCAATTCGAAGGTGACATGTTGCCAAAATATGAAGAGGTGTGATCATCCAATTAAGAGAGCATATGGTGCGATTAGAGAGGAATAAATGTTGGGTAATAGAAGGTGTCACATGGCAAATCACAATTTCAATAACATTTGAAGTTGAGGGGCAAAGCTAAAGGGCATAATCGTTTCAAGCAGTTATAAAAGATCGATTAAAGTTTTGGAATTCAAATTCAGAGTCAAAGGACGGAAAAATTTCATGAATGTAGCTATATTGATGAAGATCATGGAGGTCAAAAAGCAATTGCTAGCGAATTCAAAGTACATTTATAATCAGTCAAAGTGAAAGACAGAAAAAGCCCCGAACAAATCAAACACTTATCTCTTACTCTGCACTTACATTTTATAGGAGTAGATTTTAACTTAAAATTTGTAACTAGTTTCCACATTCGAAGTTGTCAGGTCAATCAAGTTAATAACAAGTGTAATCGGATTATTCAATTAATCAGTTACTCAATTCCTGTCTCAATTTCTCCCCATTCCCTATTCTGTTTTAAATTATTGTCGCATTTAATCTTTCTTGTTCATTAATTTGTTCTCACTTAAACACAAATATTTAAGTCATCTTCATTGAAGTAAAAATAAAAAATTTAAAAAAAATACATTCACAATCGCCTAGTCAGTTGTTTGGCTAAATTAATATCTGCAAGAGTTATTCAATCCTTGATGGCACGTGCAAATTTACATTTCTAACTTTCGAATTGCCAAAACAGTAACAATTTCAAAGCAATCACATAGCAAAAAATTTAGAGGTGATATTGACCCTTCTTTTAGATGACTAAGAGTTAAGGAGAATTCTATTATACACGTCCTCGTACCATATACACTCTTAGTTATGCTATTTTTTTCTTTAATTATGACTTCTTTTTTTTTAATTATGACATTATTTTGAGATATTTGAGATATGTAGTTATGACTTTTTTGAGTTTAATTATTATTTTATTTTATTTTATTAGTTATGACTTCTATAATTATACGGTACATATAGTTCATACCCCTCAAAGGGTATGTATCAACGTCTTTTCCCTCAATATATGTGGCTATTTCTCATTTATTAAATGTACCACATAAATAATCCCCCATGATATTAAAATATCCAATAATTTTTCACACGTCTCCAACCCAAATATTTATTGTGGAGATCACAATTAATATTTATATTCATATTCAAAAATTGATTTTAGAGACTTATTATTCATACCAACCCCAACCACATTTCTATTCCTATCTCAATCACTATTCAAGATATTTGAGATATGTAGTTATGACTTTTTTGAGTTTAATTATTATTTTATTTTATTTTATTAGTTATGACTTCTATAATTATACGGTACATATAGTTCATACCCCTCAAAGGGTATGTATCAACGTCTTTTCCCTCAATATATGTGGCTATTTCTCATTTATTAAATGTACCACATAAATAATCCCCCATGATATTAAAATATCCAATAATTTTTCACACGTCTCCAACCCAAATATTTATTGTGGAGATCACAATTAATATTTATATTCATATTCAAAATTTGATTTTAGAGACATTATTCATACCAACCCCAACCACATTTCTATTCCTATCTCAATCACTATTCACATATTTTATTTAAAACAAATAAAACTTTATTCCAATAAAAGTTATATCTTGGATATATTTATCATTTGTGAAAAAGTCACTTATTTCTCTCTAAAAAATCACTCATTTTTATTTTTTTATCCAATGGTTAAAAAAATGTAGCTTTTATATTTAATTTAAATTACTATGTTCAATTTTTTTATTAATTATATCTTTATTTGTATCATTTTATAATGGTTACTAATTTATAAAAATCACCTCTATATTTGAAAGTTATAGATATTTAAAAAAATATATATGATTGATTGTTAAAATTTAAATAAAAAAAATGAAAATGAAAATGAAAATGAAAATGAAAATGAGAAAAAGGGTATAATAGAGATAAATATAAAAATAAATCTCTAGATGCTCCATTCTAAAAATAAAAAGAAAAAAAAGTTGAGTTTCACAGCTTGGTTGGGAGTCGCTCTAATGTGGACAGTCCGCCGTTTCCAGCCTGGTTGGGTGATAAAGTCATTGAAATGGTAATGGTTCCGACATGACATTATAATTTAAAAATAAACTCCATTAGAATTTAGAATCTCTCACTATTGCTCAAAGTGCGTTAATCCCTCTCTAAGACTAACACCTGGCTCGACCATAGCGCATGCTACACACAAGGGAACCAGGAAGAGAACAAACAAACAGACAACCAGCCGATCCCCATTGCAGCAATCAAGACCCGGTATCATAAAAGACAACACAAACAACTATAAATATAAATATATGATTCCAAATGCTTTTTATGATACCAAGAAATCAAACTATATTCATTCATGCAGATCTGAAAAGCAAACAAGGAAATATTTACCAAAACCCATGTGAAGCAATAGAGCCAAGGATGCACAAATAATGGTGCAGATAATTTTAATTTGAAAAAAAAAAAAAAAAAGGATTTTTTTGTTAGTCTTACCAGAGAGATGAAGATGGGCCGAGAGCTATGCTAACTCAGTTCTTTCCTTTGCCCTTGTGGTCTGAATGCCTTCCGCTATCGCCATAGCTGAGTTGCAAGCGGCCATCAAGACCATGTGGGAACTGATGATGATGATTCTCCAAAGATGCAGCATTCGGCGCAGCGGTCCCGATGAAGAAGGGTACATTAACATTTACATTTGAATTTGATGCGTCTATATGTGATGATGATGATAACCTCTGACGGTGAGGTAACAAAGATGGTGAATTGGACTGAAGGGTCCCCCTATTCATACCAGCAAGGCCGGCAGAGAATGTGAAGTTGAGGTTGTAATCACTTCCACTCCCACCACCAGCTACTGCAGAAGAAGCTACTGGGAGGAAATGGTCTGGGGCAAGAGAGAAATGTTGCAGCTCTGGATGATGATGATGATGATGATCTCCCGCAACGCTGAATGGCGAAATCGTTGAATTTGCCAAGTAAATTTGTCCGGAAAACCCAGATGATGAGTTATGGTTTCGGGACGCCAATGATGATGGAGCAAGAAAACCAGAGGCATAGTAATCAATCGGGGTCTTTTGGAAGAAATTAGCCTCTCCACCACTAGGGTTTTGTTGAGCTGATCCATTGGGACTAGAGCTGCTGTTGCTATTCACATTGTTTATCCCACCAGTGAGCAATTCAGTGAATGAACTTTGAGAAATAGGGTTCACATTTGTTAGGTGATTGGCATTGGCCGCTCCAGATTCACTCTCTTTCTCCTTTTCTTTCTCTGCCCTCATTTGATTCCTTTCCCTCGCCCGCTCTCGAGCTTTTACGCGACTTTCAGACCGCGATAGAGATAATCCCGAGCCCTTACTAGTCTCCGAAGTGCTACTACAACCTGATTTCGACAAAGAAACATGTTGTTGATGCTGATTGTGATTCGGATCACCATCCAATTCCATCTCAGCAGAATCATCGAGTCCTTGTTCTCTGGACCGCTTTTCGTCTCTCAGCTGCTTGGGCGTGTTGGGAAGTGAAGCTTTGATGCAAGGCAGTTCATCAATGGACTTTGCCGCGGCTTTAAGAAGCCACTCGACAGCCTTGCTGGGCTGATCGACACCAAGACGATCTTGAAGATCATAAAACTGAATAGCAGTGGTAACCGAGAGACGAACACGACGGTCTCGAAGCCCTTTCGAGGTCAAAACCTTGCTGTGTCGATCTTTACCGCCAGTTGCCCTAGAAACCCTAACAATCCGCGACGATGGCCACCCACAAATTAGTCTACCAAAACCACCAATGTCACCATTTCCTCCTCCACCCCTTTTGGGTTCTCCTCCATCTTCATCCACATCTGGGTATTGTTGCTCTCTTCCCCTTTTCCCTATGCCGTTGCCGATCCTGGGAAACTTACATCCCTGCGTTTGAATCTCGTCCAGCTCCATAAACTGAAACACCCCCTTTAGCTTTCTTTCATATCCTCCTTCCCCACTCCACTTCTAGAGAGAGAAAGAGAGACGGTCTATATATTTTAAAATTAGGGTTTGGAGAAAGAAAAGTTTATTTGCAGAGTGCAGGTGTGGTTTGTCCTTTGCATTGATGACGATCATACACACTACTTCGGCTTTCGAATGTAAGGTGTGTTTGTTTTGAGAGATAGAATGGAATGAATTGATAGTGAGAGAATTAATAATGAGGGAATTGTTAGTGAAAGAATTGATAATGAGGAGATTAATAGTAAGGAATTGTTAAATTATTTTTATATAAAATAATAAAAAAATATAAAAAAATAAACATTATATTAAAAAAAAAATTCTAATATAAAAAAAATAAAAAAATTTCTAATTCCCTCACTATTTTTTTAATATCTCCTCCTTACTAATACTAAGGGATTACTAGTTCCCTCCCTATCTCTCAAAACAAACAACTCATTCTCAATCCCCTCCTTACTATCAAATCCAATTCTCTCCTCGTAACGCCAAACAAACGGAGCCTAAAGGCCTTTTAGGGTTGGTTTGGCAAGGGCTCATTGGGCTTTTTTGGCTCAATGAGCCATAAAAGACAAAATATGCTCATGAGACACAATAGACAAAACATCTCATCCAACCCCATAATCATTACACTCTTCTCTCAAAAAAAAATCAAAAAAGTCAAAAAGTCAAAAATCATTCCTAAACTAAACTTTTGAACCCAGACTCATATAATCAAAAAAAAATTAAAAAATCAACCCACTTCTCATACGGATGCTTATTACGCTTCGATATATCACGTTCGGTCGCAGGCTCGGTTGGAGCTTTTTGCAGTGCTTTCAAAAACGGAAAGGAAAGAAAAGCCTCTGAATTTGCTCTGACTCTCTCTCTCTTTTTCAGCCTGGGAAGGGTTCAAAATAAATAAATAAAAATAAAGCATCAGATGATGAGAAAACGTACACTGCTTTTACACTATTATAACTAGCAACCATTATTGACAAGAAGCAAAAAGATGTGACTTTGTATCTTCACAAACCTAAAATGAAAAGCTAAAATGAAGAAATGTCTACCTCTTGTGTGGTTGTGGATCACTTTGATCTGATCTGTAACCCTTTTTCTGCTTCAAATACAAGCTGGCGGTTGATCTAAAAAAATCTATGAAGCAATAATTGCGCATAAGACTCCAAATTTGTGACTTTAGGTTAGGTATCATGAAAAAACTTTCATGAGAATGATCATGAAAGATTTATGGCTCCGTTTAGTAGAGCTTTGTAACTATGATTTGAGAATATGAGTTATATTTTGAGTTTATGTGTTTTAGAATTATGATTTGAGTGTAGAAAATTTGTTTGGTTAAAGTTTTTGAATAAAGTGTTGAATTGAGTGTGGCCACTAAAAATATCACCACTAATAGCACTAATGCATTAAAAAAGTAAAAAAAAAGAAAAAAAAATACAACTCCAAGACCAAAACATCACATCATTAATGGCGGGACCCACTGCCACCTAATTAGTGGGAGCACTAATTAGTACTCCCAAACATTTTTCAAAAAAATCTATGAAGCAATAATTGCGCATAAGACTCCAAATCTGTGACTTTAGGCTTTGTATTTACAATAATGCTAGGCATCATGAAAATAATGTCATGAAAAGTTTTCATGAAGATTCTCCACCCTTAGATTAAATTATAATGTTTGTAGTGTTTTATTGTATGTTATGCATTCACCATTGGATTAGTTTCATGAAATTTTTCATGATATTTATTTCATGATATGTAGCATTACCCTTGTATTTAAAGGCTCCGCTGACCCTACAAAATTACAGACATTACCAAATAATGAACCATAAACATTTATGTCAGTGTGTAGAGAGAGGAGAGGAATGAGTTGTGATTTGTTACCGATTGTTTATTCATAAGACGAAATTACACCACAAAAAACAGATCTGCGATGTGTTTCAACTACTGCCAAAAAAAAATAAAAAAGAACAAAAAAAAAGTAAATTTGCAGCTCAATTTCTATGTTTTACACAATCAAAGCTCATGGTTTCAAATGGTAAAAGTGTCCTTGAAAGTTTCAATAAATCCCAAACAAAGGATCAAAATTCAGCACTTTTTGAAAAATCTCCATTGCAAAAGCTTCAAAGAAAGCCTACTTTTTCGAAGTCTGTAACGTAAATTATCTTCCTCGAGCTTCAAAGTCAGCTCTCTCTCTCTCAAAACCCCTCAAAAATTCAAAATGCTCAAACACCCAAAAAAAAATAGAGAGAAGAGCTATGAGTATACTTTTTTTATATCTTTCCCTCGCTGTGGCAGTTTCATTGAGCTTGGTTTTGTGTTTCTTATTTCTCGGAATTTCAATTTTTCTTTTTTCTTTTTTTGGAGAAAGAAATTGAGGTATACGATTGCTAGGGTTGTTCGTATGCCGGGAATTATCTGAGTTTTCAGGAATATACAAAATCAGAGAGATGCGGGGAGAGAGAGAGAGAGAGAGAGAGAGAGAGAGCTCGGGTTTCAATGCCCATTCGAGCAAATCAGCAGGCTAATCGGTAAAGAGAGACACGGCGCCGTTCCTACAGCCTTTACAATGTCCACTTTTTGCCATGTTCGTTTGCCTGTTTAAGCTCTTGGTTGTAATAATTTAAAAAAGTTAAAATGTTATTATCTTATTTAAAGCACATCGTTTTATTTAAGTTATATCACTTTTTTATTAGATTACTTCAAATTCAATTTATATCAAATTTATATTTTATAAAAAGTCAAAAAGTATATTTATTTAAATCATCTCAAATCATCCCTAAATTAACGGAGAGAGTATTCAGTCTATTTGTTTCGAGTTTTCAAATTTTAGTTTTTAGTAAAATTTTATTTTTGGGTAAATTATCAACACTCCTCGAGATTTGATTAAAATACGAATTCCCTTCTAAGGCTTAAGAAATTACAAATTGCTCCTTAAAGTTTATATTTGCATAGCAAATGAGAGGGTAATTTATTATGCAAATATAAACCTCAAAGGGTGGAATGTAATTTCTCAAACCTTAAGGGAAATTCGTATTTTAGTCAAACCTGGAGGGGGTGTTGGTAATTTGCTCTCTATTTATTTATTTATTTATTGTAATTAAAAAAAAATTGTGTGCCAAAAAAAAACTAACCACTCTATTTATTTCCATTTTTCAGAATTCAATTTTCAAAAAATTCTACTTTTTCGTTTTCCATATTTTTTTTTACTGAATTTTTTAAATATTTTAAGCAATTTTTTTTTTTTAGACAGACTTAACATAAATACACTTAGAAAGTATAATATTTATAAAAAAAAATCTTTAAAAAATTCACTAAATTCCAAAAGTACAAAAAAAATTGAAAATTTAGTACATTTTTCGTATTTTTGTGTATTTATTAATTTTTAAAATATTTTTTTCACAAATAATTTACATTTAGATACATCTAAGTATGGTACATCTAAAAAAGAAAAAAAAAATTGCTTAAAATTTAAAAAATATTTGCTAAAAACACCACACGAAAAACAAAAAACTCAATTTTTGAAAAATTGAATTTAGAAAACTAAAACCAAACACACTAATTGCTATTTGCACTTAAAAAGTTATACTTATTTTTTAAATTTAATGATGTGATAATTGATTAAAATATTTAAGATAACATTTCTATTTATTTCTTTTCTAATCATCAATTGATCATATTACTTACACATCACTATATTTAAAAAATAGATCTGTAAAATGAGCTTGTATATATCATATTATTTACATATTATTGGATCTAAAAAATAGATTTGTAAAGTAAATTTGTATATCATTTTTCTAAAAAATTATAAATAAATAAAAAAAACTTACTATAATTGAGTGAGTTACATATTTGTTCACATTAAGCTGAAAATATAAATTAAATTATATCTATATTAAGATGATTGTATAAATTGGTTAAAATTAAATTTATAAATTTATGTAGAAGTTGACTAAATTCATGAACTAAAATTCTTTAATATATAAATGATAACTTTGTTATTTTTTTTAAAGTGATACTAAAATTATATTTTCACTTTCAATATCATATGATTGAGGAGTTATTTAAAATGATCTAAATAAATATATTTTTTAACTTTTTATGAAAAAATATGTAAAAAAAATAGATAAGTGATATGATTCAAAGTGCACTTATTTAGTTTATGTCATATAGTGCCTAAATTGTGAATTCCAACCCCCTTGATAATTTATTGTCAAATGAGACTTTTAGCTTTCATTTGGAATATGTGTTGTTTTTTGATTTTTTGACTATTAGCCTGGGGCTAAAAAGTCTCGCTTGAGATGAATTTTTTAGTTTTTTTGACTTTTATGATAGAAAAAATGAAATGATTATAGTTTTGATGTGACATTTTATCTTATTGACTTTTTACTCTATTTTGTCTTTTTGTGACTATTTTAGCCCAAAAAATTTATGCCAAAGATAACCTAAGTAATTTTGCAAAACAAATATTTTTGTGGAGCTCATCAACTTACAAATTCAATCTCTATCGCTTAACAAAACAAAACAAACGTGGCCTAAGAGCATCACTATCAAACTAGTTATTTTTAATTTAGGTAAATTACACTGATCTTCCCTGAATTTAAAAAAAAAAATACAGTAACCCTACAATTTTGACATAATTATACTAACCTCCCCTTTAGTAAGGTTAAATGAACCGAAACTAATCCAGATAGTGTAAATCCACAACCAAAAAAAAAATGTAAAATATACATTTTCGTGTAAAAGATATGGCAATATCATTTTTTTTCATTTGTGGGATTGGTCCTCTAGGTTAGTCAGTTTATTGAACTGGATACCGAGTTATCAAAAAATAAAAAATAACATTTATTTTTCCATTTATATAACAAATTAATTACTGATGAAAATAGGTTAAATGTTATATGAATTAAAATTTCAAAAAAGCTCAATCTAACTATATCAAAATTGTGAGACTTACTATATTTTCTCGAAATCCTAAGACAGATTAATGTAATTTACCATTTTATTTTTAGCTAAAATAATTAATAAATCATCAAATTTTAACTCTATCAAACTAATTATCAAGTTAACTATTTTAATTTTGGTGATTTTAGCTCAAGAAATATAACTAGCGGTTTGGGCTAGTCAATAATATTAACTTTATAAAAGTAATTTTAAATTTAAATTAATAAAAATAGTATTTAAATAGTATAGAGAAAGAGTGAGAGTTTTTTTTTTTTTTGCCAAGTGTATTTAAAAAAGGGAGAATTTCAGTGCAGTGCGTGTTTTGAAAAATTATTATAAATAAGTTGTAAATTTTATAAATTTTAATAATTAAAACTATAATTTTTTTCATGAATCTGTAATGAGTTTCTAAAATTACCACTAAATGGTAATGTCACATGGGTCCGAAGTTCCCTCCAACCAGCACATGATTTGGGCTCTTTTATCTGTAATGAGTTTCTAAAATTACCACTAACTGGTAATTTCACATGGGTCCGAAGTTCCCTCCAACCAACACATGATTTGGGCTCTTTTGGAAACATCATTAAAAAGTCAAACTTTTTAGTTTTTCAGTTTTTTTAGTTAAAAAAGTTAATTTTTTTATCCAAAATAACTTAGTTTTTTATTAAAAAGTCAAAAAATTAATTTTTTACCAACTTCTCAAAAAACCACAAAATAGTAACATTTGCCTCGATAAATCCCGAATTGTTTTTGAGATAGTAATGTTTTGTTTATGCAATGTGTACATGTAATGTAATGGATGCCCAAATGCTCCTTTGTCCTATTGGCTAGAATATGTGTGTGATGACTTGGAGATATTGGTCTTGTTTGGAAATTTAGAGGTTGTTTGGGGTGTCTTAAATAAGTGTACTTTTTGTCTTTTTGGACTAAAAAATTGAGGTTGAAAATATGGATGTTTAGGTTAATTTTTTGACTTTTTATGAAAAAATGTGTAATAAAAAATTGTAAAAATTGATTTGTAGAGAAAAATTCGAATTGGAAGTTGTTCAGCCGTAATTGTTGACTTTTAGTGAATAGTGTTAACTTTTTAACTTTTTGAGTAACTTTTTGACTTTTTAACTTTTTTACAAGTTCTCAAACTTGGCCTTAGTTATTTTAATTATTTTTTTGGCTAATTGGTTATTTTAATCTGATTAAAACAATTATTTTTAGGATGATAATTAGCTTCTTTTGTAGTTGATTTGATGATTGTAAGAGAAAAAATAAAATAATTATGATTTTGATATAATATTTTATCTTATTAATTATTTTAACCTCTTTTTATTTTTTTTATCTTTATTAATTATTTTAATCAAACTTTAACATTCCAAATGGGCCAGGGTGTAGTGGTGATCGTCATTGTGAATCTAGTGGGTTATATGATGTGATAACTTATTGGGAGTTATTTAAAATTAATGTGGCCTCGACGTTATCAAATCATAGTATGGTTGTATTGGGTCATTTTAATTTATCTACTTCAGTGAATTTGGAGGTATTTATTGAGGTGGTTTTCAAATATCTAAAAGAGATGAAATCTTTTAGGTTTTGAAGGTACTTATTGAGAAGGTTTTCAAATATCTAAAAGTGATGAAATCTTTTAAGTTATAAATGATGAGATGAAAAGTTAAAGATTTTTGGTCCATTTTAGGATGTTAGAGAATGATTTTGAAGAAAAGTATACTTATGTATAAGCTTATTTTGGATAATGAAAAAAAGAACATTACTTATGTGTGTAGTATGTGAGCATTTATGATCATATACATGTATAGACTATATTGATTAGTGTGGAGAAATGGATTTCCGATACTCTTTTGTCCAAGCAGATCTTTGAACAATCCTTCGAACGTTACCTAAAATAGCAACTCTGGTCGGGAGTGCCGGAATTACCACTCCGACGGTCTAATTAGCCTCTTAGAAAAGTCTAATGCTCTTCATTTGTATAGGTTAATAATTTAGATCATACCTCATTTTGGAGTTCCCTCCTCCCTTTTTATAGAGTTTCTCCTTCAAGTTTTTATCTTGTGCTATGCATTTCTTGCTATAGTCCACTTCCCCGTTGCACTTTATGGGAAAGAATTGGCAACTCAACGAATCAATACTGACTCATCTAAATTACTTGGCTCGACATTACTCGGCGATCGTCTCTTCTAGTGACTTCTACTCGGCTCCGATTCAGCCCAATAGACTCGCCAAATGGGCCGATCTCTGATTGGGCCCAGTTGGGTTGGACTATGTTTTTGGGCCTCGTGTACTTCTTTGGGCCATTATATTTTGGCTCCCACAGTTGCTCTTCGAGTATTCGGCTACCCACGGTTCCGTGTAGCCAACATACTCGATCATCGAAAGATCAAGTCACTACATTTAAAGTGCTTTAGAATTTGGGAATACGACGGACACGCCTTTTCAATACTCGTGTTAGAAAAAACGTAATGAAGAATGATTATTACTTTCCGCCTCTTCGTACTCTTCCTTTATTTAATGCGATTTGAAATCTCTCTTGCCTTTTTTGTTTCTAATGGGACTTCACTCTTTACACAGCATTTGCATTCCTCCACCTTCAAAACTTTGTGTGATTATTCTGCCTTCTCAATAGCTCGTATCTTTCGTTTCACTCTGTAAGTCTTTTAAGCCTAATCTTTTACTTTGCTTGT